AACAACCTTTCTCCCTCCTCTATGTGACATCCCTTTATATATTTGAACATGGCTATCATATCACCCCTTAACCTCCTCTTCTCCAGGCTAAACATGCCCAGCTCCCTTAGCCGTTCCTCATAAGGCATCGGTTCCCGGCCTTTGACCATTTTGGTTGCCCTCCTCTGGACACGTTCCAGTTTTCAGTGTCAGGCGTTTACCATCCCGCTGGTAAGCGGTCCCTATTTATCTACTTGCACCCGGGGGTGCTTTCGAACTGCTAGGTTGGCAGGCGCTGGGACCGAGCAACGGGAGCGCACCCCGCCGCGGGGATTCGAACCGCCGACCATGCGATCGGCAAGTCCTAGGCGCTGAGGTTTTACCCACAGCGCCACCCGCGTCCTATCGTGGCGAGTAGCCACTGATAAAAAGAAACCGAGAGAAAAAAAGAATTTGGGGGGGTGGCAGAGACACAGGAGAAACGATGGAGAGAATGAGAAAGCAAGGAAATATTTGACCCTTGACTAGAGCGTTGGGGGGCTGCCAGGAAGGATTCCACACGCACACAAAAAATAGATGCATACTATTCCGAGCAAACCCCATTCATCTCCCCTCCCCCAAGAAAAAAAAATTGTGGCGCCATTTGAAGGAGAAATTTGGGGGGAGACAAAAAATTTATCAGTTGAGGTCTCAGCCCCTCAACTCTCCTCTGCGCCCCCCCACCACCGAAAAATGAGGCAGTTTTTTCCCCTCCGTTCCAAATTATATCCATGTGTGGGGAAACAAGGCAGCCAGACTCTATAGAGTGCAGGGAGGGGATATTTCCGGGGTTTTTTTGGGGGGGGGGATAACGAGGAAGCGGAGGGAGAGAGAGGAGGTTTTGAATGCGTTCCAGTTCTGCCTGAAGCCAGAAGCCGAAGGGAAAGTGGGGGAGGAACTATACTTGGCTTTATTAAATAGGAACCCACCCCCAAAAAAATCTGGGATCTCCCCCCCCCTGCAAAAAAAACTTGTGCCAAAGTTTTGAACTCGTTTTGTACCTTGTGTTTTTGGGTGTTAACGGCAAACCCCGGTTTGATGAATCGATCACACGGGTTGTATGGGGGGGCTATACAAAACAAGGCCCCCCCTCCCGGTACAAAACCTTTGACACAAGTTTGGAGGGGACCCCAAATTTCGGGGTTCCTATTTAATATACTTTCCAATGCTAAGCTCTTTTAAAAATTTCTGCCCCCTGATATGAGGCTGCACTTTAATGTTGTGTTGTAATCTCGTTTTTAAGTTGTATTTTAATCAATTGTTTTGATACCTGGTGTTAGCCGCCCGGAGCCCAGTCTTGGCTGTGGAGGGCGGGGTATAACTAAAATTTATTATTATTATTATTATTTATTTTTAAATCCGCAGGTCACCAGGAACCTCACAACTGCCTAGAATCACATAATTGCAGAGAGAGATGGGGCCCCCAGCGGACATCTAGCTCAACCCCCCTGATACAGGCGTCGCCTTGACGGGCAGTGCAAAATTTAGTATAGCAGCGCCATCAAGTTAATTATTTCCAGGTTGGTGTTGGTGGAGTGGTCAGAGTGTCGGGCCAGGATCTGGGAGGGTTCAGGGTTCAAATCCCGCCGCAATGGACCACGAAGCTCCCGTTAGGTGACGCTGGGGCACCCAGCGACTCACTCTCAGCCCAACCTACCTCGCAAGGTTGTCGTTAAGATAACATGGGGAATGGGTGGAGGACCCTGAAGGTGGACAGCAAATGTAATCCAAGAAATAAATATTATTGAAACTGATTAGCCATCTTTTATTAGAATTCATCATGCGAAAGGCTGGTCTGGATGAATCCCTAGCCGGAATTAAGATTGCCGGAAGAAATATCAACAACCTCAGATATGCAGATGACACAACCTTGATGGCACAAAGTGAGGAGGAATTAAAGAACCTATTAATGAGGGTGAAAGAGGAGAGCGCAAAATATGGTCTGAAGCTCAGCATCAAAAAAACGAAGATCATGGCCACTGGGCCCATCACCTCCTGGCAGATAGAAGGGGAAGAAATGGAGGCAGTGAGAGATTTTACTTTCTTGGGCTCCATGATCACTGCAGATGGTGACAGCAGCCACGAAATTAAAAGACGCCTGCTTCTTGGGAGAAAAGCAATGACAAACCTAGACAGCATCTTAAAAAGCAGAGACATCACCTTGTCAACAAAGGTCCGTATAGTTCAAGCTATGGTTTTCCCAGTAGTGATGTATGGAAGTGAGAGCTGGACCATAAAGAAGGCTGATTGCCGAAGAATGGATGCTTTTGAGAGTCCCATGGATGATTAGGCAGAAACACTCGATCGTGGTACATCCAGGGTCAGGAAGCCAGGCTCCCCATGCTGTGAAGACCTCTGATTTCAAAGAAAAAAAGAGCAAGCCTGCTTAAGTTTCTAGTCCACAGCGTGGTCTCTTGGAACAATTTTGTTGTTGTTGTTGAGTCATTTAGTCGTGTCTGACTCTTCGTGACCCCCTGGACCAGAGCACACCAGGCACTCCTGTCTTCCACAGCCTCCCGCAGTTTGTCAAACTCATGTTCGTAGCTTCGAGAACACTGTCCCACCATCTCGTCCTCTGTTGTCCCCTTCTCCTTGTGCCCTCCATCTTTCCCAACATCAGGGTCTTTTCCAGGGAGTCTTCTCTTCTTATGAGGTGGCCAAAGTCTTGGAGCCTCAGCTTCAGGATCTGTCCTTCCAGTGAGCACTCAGGGCTGATTTCCTTAAGAATGGATAGGCTTGATCTTCTTGCAGTCCATGGGACTCTCAAGAGTCTCCTCCAGCACCAGAATTCAAAAGCATCAATTCTTCGGCCATCAGCCTTCTTTATGGTCCAGCTCTCACTTCCATACATCACTACTGGGAAAACCATAGCTTGAACTATACGGACCTTTGTCAGCAAGGTGATGTCTCTGCTTTTTAAGATGTTGTCGATTCCTAAATGGAGCCTCCATGGACAGAGACAGTCTACCTTAGAGTGGTCACACACGTGCGCGCGCGCACCCACCCACCCCTCCCTGGACAGCTCCAGGCCCCCACCCACACCCCACCCTTTTGAAAAGGACGTAAAACGTACTTACCACCACCAGGCGTGCAGAAATCCGGGCGGTTCCCCGAGCGTGATGTTTTTTTCCCACCGAATCTGGCCCCAAAAAACACCCCACAACTCAGTTAAGACAGGCTGGAGGGAAAGTGGTTTGGTACCCCAAGTGGGGAAGCTTCTAGGGGAGAATGCAAAGGGAAGGATGCCCCGAAGGTTGGGACGACGACGAGGACACAGATGTGTGTCGGGGGCAGAACATCTGCTTGACATGCAGAATGTCACTATTAAAAAAACCAGCTCTTTCCTCGGAGCAGGAGACTTAGAAATTTATTTTTAGAGGGGGTGTGCCGTTGCTTCACAGGTAACAGCAGCTGCTGGGCTTGCAGAATGTCTCTAGGCATGGGCTGGGAAGGACTGCTGCTGCCAGTCCGTGCCGACGGGTCGAGGCTCTTCCTGCCTGCATTTTGCCTGCGTTCAGTGAATTACCGTATTTTTCGCTCTATAGGACGCACCTGACCATAGGACGCACCTTGTTTTAGAGGGGGAGAACAAGAAAAAAAATAACTCTCCCCCTCTCTGCTCAGCGCCCCTTCAGTGAAGCGGCAGGAGAAACGGAGCCCCTTCCATTTCTCCTCCCGCTTGGCTGAAGGGGCGCTGCGCAGCTCTCCCTCTCTGCTGAAGCCGGAAGAGTCTTGCTCTCCTGGCTTCAGCAAAAGGAACCCGAAGCCTTCGGAGCGCAGTGGCTATCTCTGAAGCCTTCACAGCGCAGCGCAAGTTCCCGCTGCGCTCCAGAGGCTTCAGGTTTCTTTCGCTGAAGCCAGGAGAGTCTTCCTCTCCCGCTGCGCTCCAAAGGCTTCAGGCGGCTATCCCTGAAGCCTGGAGAGCGAGAGGGGTCAGTGCACACCGACGCCTCTCGCTCTCCAGGCTTCAGCGAAAGCAACGTGAAGCCTCCGAAGCACGGAGGGAGCGCTCCCTCTGCGCTTCGGAGGCTTCGCGTTGCTATCGCTGAAGCCAAGGAGCCTGCATTCGCTCCATAAGACGCACACACTTTCCCCTTAATTTTTGAGGGGGGGGAACATTTTATCATATGTGGTGGGATTGTAAGGTAATTAAAAAATTTTGGGAAATGATATACAACGAATTGAAGAAAGTGTTTCATTTAACATTTGTTTAAAAACCTGAAGTATTTTTATTAGGGATTATAGGGAAAGACCTGCCAAAAAAGTTGCAAAACATCTTCATGTATGCGACAACGGCCACGAGAGTTCTGGTAGCACAAGGATGGAAGACTGAAGAAACCCCAACTAAAGAATCATGGCAAGAAAAATTGATAGACTATGCAGAACTGGCAAAACTAACATACAAGCTACGGGACAAGGATAACTGTGACTTTAAGGATGAATGGGAACCCTTTACAAAGTATCTGAAGACACAACAAAGCAAAATTGGACTCCTTGGCAGGTTTTGAATAAACATTCACAAACTTTTTATTGATAATAATCAGCTAAATAGTTTGAGGATCTATACAACTGTGTAACATGCAGAAAACAGCACTTTTAGAGAAACCAAAGACTGGAACTGAGGGAAGTCGGGGGGAAGCAGGAAAAATGGGGAGGGGGACAAGGATGATATGTTTTTGGATAATATGTCTTGTTATAATTTTGAATAAAAAAAAATTTAAAAAAAATTGGAGGGGGAAAAGTGCATCCTATAGAGCGAAAAATACGGTATTTGCTTCCCCCGTCTCCCCAAAATAAAATAAACAGATAACTTCTTTTTTTGCAGGTTATGGCTCTGCCCCCATCCCATCTTCCAGACCCCCATCTCCTCACCTCTGAGAGGAAGGTCTGCGCTGATTTCTGCGCCCCGATGTGTAGAAGGTATTCATAAACGTACAACGCCAACCTGGAGGGGTAAGAGGCGTCAGTCAAGAGCCTGCCGGGCCTGGATAGCTCAGTTGGTGAGAGCAGGGTGCCAAAAATACCGAGGTTGCGAATTCGATTTCCGGTCATTTCAGGGGGTTGGTCTAGATGACCGCCAGGGAACCCTCCAAGTCTATGGTTTCTGATTCTATTATGCTCCCCCTCCCCAAAGCCCCCTTTCTACCTATTCCCAGCAAATCCTTTGCGCGGGGATGAGGACCGTATCCGGCCCCTTTCAAATACTGCTGGGCTCCCAGCCAGCCAGCAGGACCAATGGTTAGCGTTGGTGCAAAGAGATGCTATTTCGAAAACAGGCAATCTCTCCTGAGAGGGGAAAAGGTGTCTTAAGAACAGGGGCAACAGCTATGACCTGCGACTGCGATGTTCTACGCTCCCCTGTCGGAGGCAGTAAACTCCTCTGGATAATATCAATCGCCGGGAATCACAAGCCAGAAGCAGCGCCAGATTTTGGCGATTTCCCTGAACCAGGTGCAAAGCAGTAAAGGTAAAGGGACCCCTGATCATTAGGTCCATTCGTGGCCGACTCTGGGGTTGCGGCGCTCATCTCGCTTTATTGGCCAAGGGGGACAGCGTACAGCTTCCGGGTCACGTGGCCAGCATGACTAAGCCGCTTCTGGCGAACCAGAGCAGCGCACGGAAACGCCGTTTACCTTCCCGCCAGAGTGGTACCTATTTATCTACTTGCACTTTGTGCTTTCGAACTGCTAGATTGGCAGTAGCAGGGACCGAGCAACGGGAGCTCACCCCGTCATTGCGGGGATTCGAACTGCTGACCTTCTGATCGGCAAGCCCTAGGCTCTGTGGTTTAACCCACAGCACCACCTTGTACCGAGCAGACGGGGGCCCAAAAATATCACAATTATTATTTATTAGCGCAAAACCCAAGGTGGTTGGCAGCAGGAAAATGTAAGATAACAAAACACACAATGCATAAGGATGTGCTTTCGCTGCTCAGCTACAGTCCCAAGGTCTTAGTCCTCATGGACAACCGTAGAATCGTGGAGTTTGCAATGCAGGAATTTCAGCTGAAGAATGCAAGGCAAGACGGCCTTCAAACCTCTGCTTAAAAACCTCCAAGGAAGGAGACCACCTCCAGAGGGAGTCTGTTCCACTGCAGAACAGCTTTTACTATACAGGATGCTAGCATAACAACAGGGACACAGGTGGCGCTGTGGGTTAAACCACAGAGCCTAGGGCTTGCCGATCAGAAGGTCGGCGGTTCGAATCCCTGCAATGGGGTGAGCTCCCGTTGCTCGGTCCCTGCTCCTGCCAACCTAGCAGTTCGAAAGCATGTCAAAGTGCAAGTAGATAAATAGGTATCACTCTGGCGGGAAAGTAAACGGCGTTTTGGTGCGCTGCTCTGGTTCGCCAGAAGCGGCTTAGTCTTGCTGGCTACAGTCAAGCTGTACGCCGGCTCCCTCGGCCAATAAAGCGAGATGAGCGCCGCAACCCCAGAGTCGGCCACGAATGGACCTAATGGTCAGGAGTCCCTTTACCTTTTAGCATAACAACAACAGCAACAACAACTGCAACAACAACAACAGCAGCAGCAGCACCAGCACAAGCATATATTTCCTATTTTCACAATACAGTGGTCCCTTGGTTCTCAAACTTAATCCGTTCCGGAAATTCCGTTCCAAAACCAAAGCGTTCCAAAACCAAGGCGCGCTGCTTTCCCACAGAAAGCAATGCAGAAGGGATTAATCCATTCCAGGCTTTTAAAAACAGCCCCTCAAACAGCAATTTCATGCGAATTTCACTATCGAACGAGACCGTCGATCCACAAAACGAAATTGATAAACAATGTACTGCAGTCACACAATCCATCCATCAGTAGCTTGTACTGGGTTCCACGCAGTCGCAAAAGCGCCGCGACGACAAAAACGCAAAAATAAATACGGTGGTGCCTCGGTTTAAGTACTTAATTCGTTCCGGAGGTTTGTTCTTAACCTGAAACTGTTCTTAACCTTAAGCACCACTTTAGCTAACGGGGCCTCCTGCTGCCGCCGCACGATTTCTGTTCTCACCCTGAAGCAAAGTTCTTAACACGAGGTACTATTTCTGGGTTAGCAGAGTCTGTAACCTGAAGTGTCTGTAACCTGAAGCGTATGTAACCTCAGCGTAACACTCAAATCGGAAGAGCGACACTCAAAACAGAGCACTTTTGGCTTCCGAAAAAAGTTCGCAAACCGGAACATTTACTTCCAGGTTTGCCCTGTTTGGGTTCCAAGTCGTTTGAGAACCAAGGCATTTGAGAACCAAGATAACACTGTCATTCATTTTGGTGCATTCATGAATCTTCTCATTAGGTACCTGTATGAATACAGGTAAAGGTAAAGGGACCCCTGACCATTAGGTCCAGTCGTGACCGACTCTGGGGTTGCGGCGCTCATATCGCTTTATTGGCCGAGGGAGCCGGCGTACAGCTTCCGGGTCATGTGGCCAGCAGGACTAAGCCGCTTCTGGCGAACCAGAGCAGCGCACGGAAATGCCGTTTACCTTCCCGCCGGAGTGGTACCTATTTATCTACTTGCACTTTGAGGTGCTTTCGAACTGCTAGGTGGGCAGGAGCAGGGACCGAGCAATGGGAGCTCACCCAGTCACAGGGATTTGAACTGACAACCTTCTGATCTGCAAGCCCTAGGCTCTGTGGTTTAACCCACAGCACCACCCGCGTCCCTTGTATGAATATAGCTGTATATATTTTTTTGGGGGGGTGCCATATTTTGTCCTCGCTCAGGGCAGCATATTACCAAAGTCCGCCTCTGTGGGGAGAGTCGATTCCCCTATGGGGGGCTGCTGTTTGGACATGGGGGCAGCCGGACTGGACCTGCCCCCTTGGGCCTGATCCTACCCCAGTGATCTTCCTATGTTAGGAAACCTGCTATCCTTTCTGGCTGTTGGGTAACTCAAACTCCCAATAAGCCAGCATGGCCAATGGTCAGAAATGGAGGGAGGTGGGGGTCCAGGAAAGACCACAAACTCCGTTCCCTGTGCTGGGGGGGGGGTTAACTGAGACTCCCCCCCCCCAAGGCTCTGTAGGGTTGGAGATGGTTCTGTTGGATCGGGGCAAATCATCTTGCATGCAGAGACTCCAAATGCCACACATGACCAGTTATTATTTAATAAATTTATAGTCCACTTTGTGGGAGAAAAAACTTAACGCAGGACGAGCTGTAATTCTCGCATTGCAGGGGGCTGGACCATAGCGGTCAACTTTCCCCTTTTCTTGCGAGGAATCCTATTCAGAATAAGGGAATTTCCCTTTAAAAAAGGGAAACGTTGACAGCTTTGGGCTGGACAAAATGACTTCTGGACTTCTAACCCTGCAAAGCTAGGTATCTTGGATAAAGGGCAAAAACAATATACGCTTTACCCCCGGAAAATAAAATAAAATAACCATTTTGGCAAACTCTGGAGGGAAACGAAACTAAAAATTGTTACAGCAAAATAAACAACAACTGGATAGTAGCTCAGCTGGTTAGAGAGTGGCTTCATTGGAAGGGGTTATAATAAATAATAATAATAATAATAATAATAATAATAATAATTTATTTATACCCTGTCCATCTGGCTGGGTTTCCCCAGCCACTCTGGGCGGCTTCCAACAAAATATTAAAATACAATAGTCCGTCAAGCATTAAAAGCTTCCCTAAACAGGGCTGCCTTTAGATGTCTTCTCAAAAAGTAGGCTAGAGGACTTCCGCGGTCCCTTCCAGCGCAACAATTTTACAATTCTATAACACCCCCCCCAAAAAAAACAATATAAATATGCAACGCACAGACATTTTAATCCGGATCGCAGATCCTAAACTCCGTATGTGTGGATGGCCAATCCAAGGCTCAGTGCCTGGTAAGCCGCAGGTAGACTGCGTCTGTGGCTGGGGGCTTGATTCTTAGCCGTCACCATTGCTCAGAGTTCCCCCTTTGGGGCTGAATTTTTTTTTTGGGGGGGGCAGGGAATTGGTGACGAAGACTTGTGCTCTAATCAATTCGCCATTAGCTCTTGTTCAGAGACTCATCCTCTCCCAAAAAAATAAATAACTGCCCAGGATGGCTGCTGGATGTGGCTGGATGCAGACCCCCCAAAAAATGTTCCTGCATGCCCCCCCCCAGAACTGTCCACCAGGTCTGCCAAACATTTGGGGGGAAAGCAAGTTATGAGCAGGTCATCTCAACTTGACAACACCCTCTAAGGTCCAGTGCACATCCATATTTTTTTTGGGGGGGGACACAGACACACTCTGCCCCCACGCCCTCTTTTCACCTCCCCCCCACGAAATACTTTCAGACCCTCTCTGCCCCCCCTCAACTCCAAAGTCCCCTTCTCTGTTGTGGCCCTATCCATGAAACCACACACAAACCCACAGCGCCCCCCAAAACTAATTTTCCTTCTGACAGAGCCCATGAATTGCTAGGGAAGTAAAGGGGTGGGGAGGCAGGTCAGGAACCCCCCAGCTTTAAAACACCCCCAGGCCTGCTTCTGATTCATGGAGGGGGGGTCCTCCGCCTGGGAAACTCAACACTGGAAGTTTGCAGAGGGGTTGGGCTGATTTTGGGAAACGGGCTCCCCAAATCTCCAAAGGAAATTGATGTTTGGGGGGGCTGTCTTTTGGGGGAGGGGGTCCCGCTGCCTGATAAAACTCCCTTTGGGAAGTTTCGGGAGTGCATTTGGAGGGGCGGGTGAGTGAAACCGGGCTGATTTTGGGGGGAGACGGGGGTGCCCAAATTTTAGGGAAACTGATATTTTGGAAACTGATGTTCGGCAGGGGGGGTTCCACCGTCTGAAAAGCGAGGAAGTTTCAGGAGTGGGTTTTTCTCTGATGGGGGGAGGTGAGTGGAGCTGATATGGGGGGGAAGACCCCCAGATTTCCAAGGGGGGGTATTTTGGGGAGGCGAAACTCCACCTTGGAAGTTTTAGGAATGCTTTCATTTTTTGTGTGTGGGGATAGGGTTTAGGCTGAGAGGCACTGATCTGATTTTTTTGGGGGGGGTCTCTAGATTTCCAAAGAAAGGGGTCTTGTCGGGGTGGTCGTGGGTTTTTTTTTCGGGGGGGGGAGGGAAGGAGGGAGGGGGT